GAGGAGGAGGAGGAGGAAGGAGGAGGAGGAGGGGGAGGGAGGAGGAGGAGGAGGAGGGAGGGGAAGAGGAGGAGGAGGAGGCGGAGGAGGAGGAGGAGGGAGGAGGAGGAGGAGGAGAGGAGGAGGAGGAGGAGGAGGAGGAGGAGGAGGAGGAGGAGGAGGAGGAGGAGGAGGGGAGGCTATTTCCGAAGGATCTTGCATCTACCAGGAATCAGGAATTAGGAGGAGGAGGACGACGCCGACGAGGAGGAGAAGGAGCAGAAAGACGAGGAGGAGCAGGACGAAGACGACGACGCCGACGACGATGACTCCACCGACGACGACGACGACGACGACGACGACGACGACGACGACGACGACGACGACGACGACGACGACGACGACTGCAGGGGAGGAGCTCCCCGAGCAGCGCGGGCGCGAAAATGCCCCCCTTCGTGGTTGGAGCAAGGCCTCCGCGACTCACGCCTCGATAGAGGGGGGGCAGATCAGAAAAGGAAAAGTTACCCATACCCCTCCTCTTCCCTCGTGTTCCCTTGTTTGGGCCTCCTGGGAGGCCCTTGTCGCCACCGCTGGATTCGCTTCGAATTTTTGTTGAGAACGCACCCCAGAAGAGGTCCGGGGAGAAGCGGTCTCCGTACCTTCGGACGGGGCCAGGATAAGGATTGATCCGTTCCAGAGCGTTCCAGAACGCCCCGAGAACGCCGCGGCGCCCGAGGCGTCCTCCAGAGCCGACGGTTCTCGGAGATGCTCGATTCATTGTCACCCGAAGTTGTCCTCGTGTTGGCTTCGTCTCAAGGGCGAGGCGGGAGGGCCAGGCCCAGCGCCGCTCCAGGACATCGGGGCGGAGCTCCGAAAACGTTTGTGCCGCGCTTTGCTCCTCCCGGCAGCAGCGCTCGGCTTCTTCGCGGCAGCGCTTGGCAGAATCTCCCGGCAGCGTCTGGTTGTCCCGCTTTTGGGCGCTGCGTAATGGGGGGGTCGTAAATGGGGGGGTGGCGAGGGTGGCTCGAAAAGGTACCCAAACGGTACCTAAACGAGCCCCCTTGGAGCTCTGGAGGGGCCCGAAAGGGGCACGAAAGGGGACCTTTTCTGACCCCCCCATTTGTGACCCCCCCATTAAGCCACGCCCAGCGCTTCCCTCGCGCACGCACTGCTTCACAGCGGCTACAGTCGGGCCGCTGCAGAGGGAACCCTTTTCGTTTGGGAGGGGCTCCGCGTTCCGTGGTTGCTTTGCGGTGCTCCTCGGGCTTTCCTGAGGTTCTCCATGGGAAGTCGGAGGTTAACTCTCAGGAGGGAAAGAAACACACAGACACAATTAATCGGCGATTCCCAGAAAATATGGGAAAATATGGGAAGTGGGGGGGAAGACAAAAACCTAGAAAATATGGAAAAATATGGGGGATAAATTTATTTGTGTGTATTTATTTGTGTGTCCCAGTTCCCCTTCAAACTCATGGGAAGCAGGGGCCTCGTTCCTTCTCGATCGCTCCTTAGGGCAGCGCCCCGACTGTGCACGGGGGTCCTGCTCGCAGGGCCCGCGTGCTGGGCACGCCCGCCGCCCGCCGTCGGGCCGCCCTCCCAGGCGTGGATGGCGTTCTGCGCTCTGCGTCCTGCCTTTTGCTCCCGCCGTGCCTGCTTGGCGGCCTCGCCGCTCGCTCGAGGAGTGGCTCGAGGAGAAGGCGGCCGGGGTCCAGAGTTCGGTCGGGCCTGTCCCCCTACAGGAGGAATGTGCGAAAATATGTTATCAAAAGAGAAGAGTCTGGGGACGATGGTTTGACTGCGTTTGCTCATTTGCGGGACATTTCTGAACATTTGTTTTATTGTTTCGCCCCAAATCCCCCTGTAGGGAGACACGCCCCGCTTAAGGCCGGAGGTCGAGCTTCGGCGGCGGGCCAAAGGGGCGCAGCGAGGAGGGGCGGCCTTCTCGGGAGGCCCGGAAGTCCCCCCATGGCCTTCCGGGAAGTGTCCCAAGGCACCGAGGACCTCTCAGGCACCGAGAAGTGGACAACAGCTTTCTCGCCAACTCCTCCTCCTCCTCCTCCTCCTCCTCCTCCTCCTCCTCCTCCTCCTCCTCCTCCTCCTCCTCCTCCTCCTCCTCATATCACCCCCTCGATCTTTCCGCTTCTCGTGCTCGTCATCGTCTCTCCCTCCTTCTGCGCCGGGAAGCCTTCCCCGCAGGCACCGAGGACCTCTCAAAAGGCGCGGGGGCATCTGAGAAGCCCCGCCACCTCCTGAGACTCGGCATCGCTCGGGCGCGTGCAGCTTTCCCTCGTCGAGGACCATCGGGGAGCATCCTTTCTCACTTGGCGGGAGAACCACGCACGAAACCGGAAAAAAACACAGGGAGTGGACGTCCGAGCGATGGCCAGAGGTCGAGGTTCGGCGGCGAGCCCAGGGGCGCAGCGAGGAGGGGCGGCCTTCTCGGGAGGCTCGGGAGTCCCCCTTCCGACCTTCCGGGAAGTGCCCTGAGCCTTCCCCGAAGGCACAGGGGGGCGGGACCTCTCAGCGGGCGCGAGGGCACCCGAGAAGCCCCGCCGCCTCCTGAGAGGGCCTTCTCCTTCTCACTTCCCCCCCCCTCGCGCGCGGGACACCCCCCGAACCGAGGAAAGGGCCAGCAAGCCGAGGAAACTCGACCCCCTGACCGAGGAAGAACCCAAACCGCGGAGAACGCAGACACGCCGGGAGAAGCGCGCCCTCGGTTTGGGTTTTTCCTCGGTTAGGGGGGGGGTCCCCCTGGCGCGCCGCCGAGA